TATGAATAGACAGAGATAGATAGATAGGACAAGTGAACATATATAGATTGGTAAGTAGATATGTGTACGCAGTGAAATACAAGTTAATTTCTTTTTAAAATCTCTTGAAAAACAATGAAATACCCATTAAATTTGTTGACACGAGCCATGTGTGTAAACAGGAATGAACCTAACAAGGAAATCAAGAACAACAAGATCCCTAAACTACAAAAAAAATCTGCTAAAAAGATTAACATAACATCAAAGTCCTGTTAACAAAGACAGCAAAACTGAAGAGTATTTCTTTACTGGAACATGCTTAATATAAAGCCATAAAATTGTTTAAATGCATGTTAAGGAAATGCAAGCAATTTTGTGCAAAATTATATCAATGTGGAAAAACCATTTCAAGTATTTTAAATCCCAAATATAATGAATGGCTTATTTGCTGTAATTAACAATACAATAAACACACATTTGTTTCGGCAAATATACATTAATTGGTTGACAAAAAAGAAATGACGCATTTTATATGTTTTATTATGCTTAGATTAACCACTGCAAGGCGATATGATCATTGGGTACCCAATGAGGACAAATACATGACAATTTTAATTGTCTTCAGGAGAAGCTACTTATCGGACACCCAGTGAGGAGCAAACTCTTTACAGCCATAATGTCCTAGAAGAGAATCTCATAATCATTGAGTACCCAATGAGGATAGATATCCTGACAGTTGTAATGGCCTGCAAGACAATTTCATAAACATTGGCAACCCAATAAGGATAAATTTAATAACAGTTGTCTTGCATTCTAGCCTAAGGATGCCGCTTATGAACGGTGAAACGCATTGTCTGAAAAGCTTTTCGACTTTATCTCCAACTTTGCTTGGCTGTTATTCTACATTCTAGTAATAGCGTACAACAATATCACATTGAAACTCCGGTTCTTGTATGTTCACTGAAGTTAAGCAACACTGAGTCTGGTCAGAACCTAGGTGAGTGACTGCTTCAGAATATCAGGGGCTGTAAGCTTCGAAGAGCCAATGGTATAATGGATAAATGGCTGATTGACGATTTGTCATAGGAAAAGTGCATGGTTCCATCATGAGAAAACAGATTATGCAAAAACAAAAAACACTTATTAATCAAGATAACCTGACAGGTCTGAAGAAAAATATTATCAGGATTTCATGACACATTATGCCAAATATTATTATCTTTCAATTTTGACAGCCAGTTAAGCAATATCGAAGCTAGTCAGTACCGAGATGGGTGACCACCAAGAAAAACTTGCAGGTCTGTTTAAAGATGCTATGATGTCATGACACGTCATGTCAAATATCATTTTTGAGTTTGAAAGCCAACTAAGCAATGTTGAGCCTGGTCAGTAGCTAGATGGGTGACCGCTCAAGAATACCAGGTACTGTAAACTTGGATGTGCCGATTGTGTAATGCATAAACAGCTGATTAACGATTTTTCATACACAATGTGCATGACCCCATCCTGAGAACAGATCGTGCAAAAAATATAAAACATTTACTGCCCAAGATAAAATGGCAGATCTGTTTAAAGATGCTTTCAGTATATTATCATAAATCATGCCAACAGGTGACACTCTCCTCTAAATACACAAATATTATCTTTTGAGTTTGACAGCGTGTTAGTCAACATCGAATCTCGTCAGTACCTGGATGAGTAACTGCATGGGAATAACAAATATGATAAGCTTGGATGTGTGGATGGTGCAAAAGATAACATCTCAGAATTGGAAATTGGAAAATTGAGATCCAATTCCAGTCAGGTTTGTTATATTCAGCTACACTACCTCTTCTCTCCCCAACTATGGATTAATTAGTAGGACTTGTATCAGTAAATCATTACCATCTCCAAAAATACTTATAATTAAAAAAAACTTTCTTATTTCAAATAACCTACTAAAGGTTGATAAACCATAAAAAAGAAAATCAATCAAAATATCCTACTGATTCGCATTACATACTCTTATATTTTCAAAATATCTTGAAATTTTGGTAATGTTACTGCATTTGGTTTCCATAGAAATGACCAGAATCTGATGTAAGTTAAATTGATGCAATCATAGAGCCTGTGTATAATCCTACCAGAATAAATCTGTTATAGCTAACTAATTAAAACTTGTAAGATTTAGAAATAAATTCATTTTGTTACGATTTAACAATAAATAACACAAATTGAAACTACTTTTGGAAATGGTTTGCTAACAGTTCCTCCATGGGAAGGGAAGATTTTAAAATTTTTCTTAAAGAAATGTAGGTTGGTTCCAAACTTTGTTAAGCAATGTGTCTTTCCTTTGTCTTTTCTTAAATCAGGCTCTTTTCTAAGTGCTGGAATAATAATAATAATAATAATAATAATAATAATAATAATAATAATAATAATAATAATCTGAAGGTTTTATCCTTGCTGCGCAGGACCAATGCTTGCTAACTAGGAATTATCAAGCACATATACTAAAATATTGTGTCAGCCCAAAATGCAGATTCTGTGATAAATATCCAGAAACGATTGATCATCTTGTATCAGGTTGCACGGTGTTGGCACCCACTGAATATAAAACCTGACATGATAGAGTGGGCCAATATCTGCACTGGAAAATCTGCAACTTCTACGGGAAGGAAACTGAAAGAAACTGGTATGAACACCACCCAGACTCGGTTACGGAGATAGGACCTGTTACAATTCTATGGGACTACACAATACACACTGACAGAACAATCAAGGCCAACCGGCCAGATATTGTTATTAAAGACCACAAACAAAAACGGTGCCTCCTTATTGATATGACAGTCCCTGCGGACTGCAATGTATCTTTGAAGATATTCAAAAAGTTGTCAAAGTACAAGGACCTTGAAATAGAAATCTCGAAAATGTGGCATATGGGAACATCAACAATCCCTGTTGTAGTTGGAGCCCTAGGACTAGTTGGAAAAGATTGCAGTAGACTAATTGAAGGGATTCCTGGAAGTCCATGCCTCAAGGAGATATAAAAAATTGTTCTGACAAGTACAGCCCACACCTTACGAAGGGCTTTATCTATGTAATTTATTTTATTTTTATTTTTTTTGTCAGTGGAAAGTGTCATGACGTCATTTCTAACCTTAGGTCCCTGGGCGGGACCCGGAAAGAAATGTTTAAACGCCAGAAATCAAAGAAAATAATAATAATAATAATAATAATAATAATAATAATGTTACAGATATAGGATCTGTCACAATCTTATGGGACTTTAAAATACACACAGACTGAATCATTTAATTGCTATGACATTGTGGTCAAAGACCACAAGAACAGAATGTGCTTTCTTATTGATATGGTAGTCCTTGTAGACTGCAATGTATTGTTGAAGATCTTCAAAAAACTATCAAAATACAAGGATCCTCTAGTGGAAATCTAAAAAATGTAACACTTGAGGAGATCAATAATTCCTGTTGGAATTGGAACCCTCAGAATTATTGGAAAATGTTCTGATACTCATTGATGGGAATCCTGGTAGTGCATGCCTTAAAGAAATACAAAAAATTGTATTCACAAGTGCAGCACACACGTTACAAAGAGCTTTATCTATGTAAAATGTGTATAATCTTTGTTTTTGTTAGTTCTTTTTTTTACACTAATGATCAGTGGAAAATGTCATGAATTCATTTCTGACCTTAAGTTTCTGGTTAGAACCTAGAGGGAAATATGTATACAACAGAAACCCAAGGAAATATTAATAATAATAATAATAATAATAATAATAATAATAATAAAGAACCTTGAAATAGAAATCTCGAAAATGTGGCATATGGGAACATCAACAATCCCTGTTGTAGTTGGAGCCCTAGGACTGGTTGGAAAAAGATTGCAGTAGACAAATTGAAGGATTCCTGGAAGTCCATGCCTCAAGGAGATACAAAATTGTTCTGACAAGTACAGCCCACACCTTACGAAGGGCTTTATCTATGTAATTTAATTTTTTTTTTTTTTTGTCAATGGAAAGTGTCATGACGCCATTTCTAACCTTAGGTCCCTAGGCGGAACCGGAAAGAAATGTGTAAACGCCAGAAATCAAATAATAATAATAATAATAATAATAATAATAATAATAATAATAGAGTGGGGCAATATTTACACTGGACAATGGGCAAATACTTTGGAAAAGATGTTAACAAACAGTGATATGAACAACACCCAGCAGCAGTTACAGAAATAGAAGACTTCACAATTCTATGGGTTTACACCATCTTTACAGACAGGAAGATTGAAGCAAATAGACCAGACCTAATTGTCAAAAACCGAAATGAAAGCACTTGCATAGTAATTGATATAGTTTGCCCAGCAGACTGTAGCATAGTAACCAAGGAATTTGAAAAACTATCAAAATATAAATATCTGGAAATTGAAAACAAGAATAGTAACAGCCATAGTAGGTGCGCTTGGATTGATAAAAAAGGAACACAACAACACATTGAAAAATCCTTGAAAATCTCAGCTTAGGAGAAATAAAAAAAAATTTGATAAGTACAGCCCACACACTAAGAACTTTGTCCATCTAACTCTACTGATGTTATGAGAGTTAGAAAAACAAATCATGAAATGTAACCATAGCAATACACCACAACCAGACTTGGTAGGTAGTGTGACTATAGCAGAAATTGAAATGTAAAAATATTATTATTAATAATAATAATAATAATAATAATAATAATGGAATAATTGTCCATAGTATTAGGGTGTGTATATGAAAAGAATTTTGATTAACAATATGTCAAAAATGAAAATATTTTCAATACTGTTTACTGCTACTACTCCTACTAGTATTAATAATAATAATAATATGGTGTTTATATAAAGATTTATTCCCTGCTTGTGGTGCTTAAATATCAGTTTTGGAAAAATCTTGTTCAAACTGGATGTAAGATAGCTTTTGAATACTTTTCTTCTCAGATGAAAAACATGCTTCTGTCAAAGAAAACAATAAACTGAGAGAACGTGTTTACCTTGTTACTTCCGCAAATTGTTCCTTCTGCAGCGGATTCTCGTTTTGTTGTGCATGTCTTGTTGACATGACACCATAAATATGAACACATGTTCTGCCAAAAAGAGTATAAGAATTCACTTTAATTTTTTAAAATGGAAAAAAAACAATAAAAGAAACAAATTAATTATATCTCAGATTTCAACACTTTCAAGGAAATTAAATTTGGAATAAAATTTGCTGCGTTTTTCAATGGTTTTCAATTCATGAAATAATATATATATATATATATATATATATATATATATATATATATATATATAGTATCTTCTGTCAAATATGATGCATATGTTTCATTCATGATTTGTCCAGGATAGTTACAAATGAAGAAGATTACCTCACTGGCTTAGTTTAAAGCACAGTACAAGACTGGTGGTGAGATCTCATCAATTTACAGTCGAGTTGGCTAGATGTAGTCGTAACTTCTAGGTTAACTACTTTTTATCTTCCATTTCTCGCTTTTGGAACTCCCTTCCAGCTCCATGCTTTCCAGCCAACTTTAATCTGCCAAACTTTAAATGCAATGTCAATAACTATCTACAGTCCTCCTGATAGCTCTTTTCTTTCTCCTCATTACTAATGTTTCTGTCCCTAATTCCTCCACACCCTGTAAACCCCTTGCATGCTAGTGGATTTACTGCCTTGCTTGAGGTAAAACTGATTAAAAAAAAATTCATTTTGGTGAAAGGAAGGGCCTTAAACAGCCGTCCTAGTTTAGGATTCATTTCGGAGAAAAGAAGGATCTTAACCTGCTGCCCTAGTTTTAGATTCATTTTATCAAAAAGAAGGACCTTAAACTGCTGGCGTTGGTTAGGATTCACTTTGGTGAAAAGTAGGATATTAATGTGTCGGCCTAGTTTAAGATTCATTCTGCTGAAGAGAAGGATCTTAACCTTCTGGCCTAGTTTAGGATTCAATTAGGTGAAGAGTAGGACCTTAAGCAGTTGGGCCAATTTAGGTTTCATTTTGGTGAAAAGAAAGACCATAACCTGTTGGCCTAATTTAGGATTTTTACAGGGTGAACATCACGTGTACTTCAGCCACAGTAGATGTGGTGTTGGAAAGATAGCATGACAGAGCACGACCCTCTCCAGGCTGGTTTTTTGAATTCGGAGTTACCTTCTCCTAGACCGGTTGCCACCCAAAGCTATAGAACCCAATTCGTCTTGCTATTTACCCATAGATGGGGGGGGGAGAAGAAGAGGATTCATATCTTTCCAAAGAGTAAGTGAATGTAATGAACTCAACTGAAATTCGAACTCGGCTCTCAGAGTCCTCAATCAGAGCCGCTATCCATTACTCCACCGTGCCTCCCTAAAAAGGATCATACCCGGATTCTATTATTTCTAGTGGAACATTAGATAATGAAAAATATTGATATCATATGGGCTGGAGCTGCTCAATCAGCCATGTCAGTTCAAAATCGCTTGGTTAGGATTCACTTTGGTGAAAAGTAGGATATTAATGTGTCGGTCTAGTTTAAGATTCATTCTGGTGAAGAGTAGGACCTTAACCTGCTGGCCTAGTTTAAGATTGTTTTTGGTGAAAAGAAAGACTTCAACTTGCTGGCCACCACTCTACAACGACTTCCCCACAGATAAACCCGTCGATACTCTATCACAATTTCAATGGAAAATGTTCTGACGAGCCACATTCCAACATTTCAGACATAGACATCTACAATCCTCATCTAGACTGGTGCGAGTCATCTACATTATCTTTGTATTTCACTCGTAAGATGGGAGTTTCGTTCAGAGATTTCCTCCCCAAGAGCCGCTGAACAGATCTCTGAGAGGATGCTTTTCCCAAGCACGACAATCTTAATATCTTCAAGGCCATAGATACCTATTATCTACACAACAACGGAATTTGAAAAAATATTTAAAAATACAATCAATTTAAATAAAATCAAAGACGACAAAATGTGAGTTATTTTAGTTTATGAATTAAGTGTCCATCACTTTTATAAAGACAGACATGATCACAAAAAATCTCGCGTCGGAAAATATTAAACCTTTAATTGTGCTTTTAAAATAGGGTGTTTATTAATTAGTATAAAAAAATGTTGAAATACAGGGTGTCCCAAAGAAATTGATATCATTTCAAAGGTCAATAATTTTGGCAGTTCTTGTTGAAATAACCTCACATTTTCACAGAATGTATAGAAACAGATCAAGATTTGATATTTAATGTTTTATTTTTGTTTTCTGAATGAGAATCTGCCAGAGAGAGGAATCGGGCGTGGTGGAGATGAAGACAGTTTTTTGATGAAATGGCCGCCGCAGTCACTGAACCTGTCCCCGTGTGATTTCTTTTTATGGGGACATGTGAAGGGACGGGTCTATGTCCTCCCTCTTCCTGCTAGAATTGATGAACTCAAGTTGAGAATTACTTCCGCACCGGATAATGTTACCGGAGATATGCTACAGCGTGTGGGGCAAGAGCTTAACTACCGACTTGACGGGTGCCGTGTCACAGGCGGTGCACATATTGAACACTTATGAAATTGGTCCCATAATAAACTACACCTAAAATTGAGCTAGACTTAGTAGTTTTCAAGATAATTGCTTTTAAAATGATGTCAAATTTTGGGAGACACCCTGTATATATATGGTTTGTTATTATCTTCACCTCCCGCAGGGAATCTATCTATTTGGGATAACTATCTCCGAGTGTAACAGGATTACCAATACCAATAACAGTGGTTTAAGAGGAATCGAAAGTTGAAAGTGTTATGAGGGATAAAACAAGGTTTGGTTTGGTTTATTTTGTTTAACGGCATATCAAACACAATGGATTATTTAATACCGACAACATTTTTAGGATAGATTCGTATGAACAGAATATGTATTCTTTGGTTTAGATTGGTTTGGTTTATTTTGTTTTACAGCATATCAACCTCAATGGGTTATTTAATGCCGACAACCTTTTTTAGGATAGATTTGTATTCTTTGAATAGAACTATGGGTATTCTTTGGTTTAGATTGGTTTATTTTTGTTTATTGGCATATCAACCTCAATGGGTTATTTAATGCCGACAACATTTTTAGGATAGATTTGTATGAATAGAATATGTATTCTTTGGTTTAGATTGGTTTATTTTGTTTAACGGCATATCAACCTCAATGGGTTATTTAATGCCGACAACATTTTTAGGATAGATTTGTATGAATAGAATATGTATTCTTTGGTTTAGATTGGTTTATTTTGTTTAACGGCATATCAACCACAATGGGTTATTTAATGCCGACAACATTTTTAGGATAGATTCGTATGAATAGAATATGCATTCTTTGGTTTAGATTGATTTGGTTTATTTTGCTTTACAGTATATCAAACTAAATGGGTTATGTAAGGCTGACAAACATTTTTTTACTGGTAATATTTTGTTTTGTCAAAAATCTCTTTCTGGTAATATATTTCCTTCAAAATTGTATTGCTGGTAATAATTTTTTTCAAAGGACGTGGATGTAGTTTAACGTCTTACCCAGGACGCGGATGTAGTTTAACGTCTTACCCAGGACGCGGATGTAGTTTAACGTCTTACCCAGGACGCGGATGTAGTTTAACGTCTTACCCAGGACGAGGATAAAATAAGGATAAGATTCTTACATCAAAAGATTCACAAAGTTTGGCTTTGGGTCCATACTGCAAACGACACTGGTGATCAGCATCATACATGGTCCCCGGAGGTAGAATGGGAAAAACATAGGAAGAATCCTTGGGCTCATCATTTAAACAGTATCCCCAGTTGCGGCTAAAATGAAAGAAAACAACATTTAAAACAAAACAAAAACAAAAAAAATCGTATTCTTTCAAATTCACAACAGACAAATGTTTTCTTTCTCTAGAGGCTTGAAGCATCAAATATTTAAAAAAAATACTTATAGATTGTTTATTCTGTTTTATTATTCTATCCGTTTATATTTAGCAGTTTTCTACCTAGAATCAGTGTTATATCTGTCTATTGTTGCACTTTCTAAGTCTTTCTTGTCGAAAAACCTACATGAAGTAAGAAAAGCGAAGAGATGCAACAAAGGGTGTAAAGGAGGTCATGTAGACGGTAAGTAAAGAAGACAAAAGTGAAAAGAAAACCAGCTTCATGTCTCGCACTTCTCGCCTGTGGAACTCCCCCCACCTTTCCTGTTTCCCTGATAGCAATAATCTCCAACTATTCAAATGTAATGTCAATCGACGTCTCCAGATGCCTTGATCTATCCCCTATCCTTCTCTTCATCCTTTCCTCTATCACTCCTATTTGCTCTTGCTCCAACTCTCTGTAACCCCTTGTGTGCTAGTGGCTTCCTGCCTTGCTTGGGGTGAAACGATTAAAAAAAAAAAAGAAAAAAGTGAAAGGGAAAAATATAAACCTTGCGTGGGAGAAGGAAATAAAAGATATGCCTTGAGATTTATGCTTGGAATATCAAGGCAAGTAGTCCGAGTCCTCCAGAATAAGCACGCTAATGTTGAAAGCGTCTTGGATTGGAAAAAAAAAAAAGACTGACAAGCATTTGAAATTAAATAAAAGAGATCAAATTACAGTTAGTTACCCTCATAAACGCTAGAAAACGAACATACAAAGTCCACAAATTAGGCACCGCCGTTAGCACTTCTATGTAAAATAGATCCAACACCATTTCAGATAGCTGGATTTATCAAATAATCTGTTTGCAATGTAGAAACATTTACATTGGCAAGACATCTCGAAATCTAAAATCCCTCATCTTTGTTCTTACCAAAAACCTACATTAGGACAACCCTTTAAACTCACTCAAAAAAACACAGGGCCATAACTGGCCATAATTACAAATGTCACCCTAATTAAAAAAGAACACAGTTTTTTACGTCGAAAATACTTCAAGGGAATCATGATAAATATTATACCAACTATAAACCCACGTCATAAAAACTATATTACATCATCAATCTTTATTCAACGCATTCTTAAAGAATCTAACGTATATTTATCTACTATCACCACAAATGATGCTGACGCAAAAACATCCTCAAATCAACATGTGGACAACCTCCATATATAAATCATGCCTACTAGACATACAGACATACATACATATATGCATTTAAATCCGAATCCCGCAAAGACAAAGAGAAGTTATGATACACTTACACACATAAATTATACACACAAACGCTGCTTGACATGTCAAATGCACATGAAGTCTGTTTAACCAATGAAAAACAAGACAAAAATAATATTAGAATATTTGTCCATGGACAAAAATAATATTAGAATATTTGTCCATGGACAAAAAAATATTAGAATATTTGTCCATGGACAAATATAATATTAGAATATTTGTCCATGGACAAATATTCTAATATTATTTTTGTCTTGTTTTTCATTGGTTAAACAGACTTCATGTGCATTTGACATGTCAAGCAGCGTTTGTGTGTAAGTGTATATATTTAAAAAAAAAAAAAATACACATTACAACCAAAAACATTGGCAGTTCCTCTCTCCTTTTTATTATACACACTTTTCTCTTGTTGGAACCACTATAACCTCTTCCCTCTCCCTCTCTCTCTCTCCCCTCTTCCTCTCTCTCTCTATATATATATATATATATATATATATATATATATATATATATATATATATATATAGGAACAGGGCCAGTGCGTACTAAATCTAAATCTCCCTACCGGCTAGAGCGAGCCTGATTGTGGGTTCTGTGCAGAGCTTTGTGGCACTCGCTATCTTATCAACATTTGCTTTTTTTCCACCTCCATTTATATACGTTACACGTTAAACTAAGCACAACTATTAAAAAATAAAAATAAAAATTTCGCGGGTTCTGAAAAAAAAAAAAACACTATATAAAATTCACTATTTTTTATCCATAAATATAAAAACTGAATTTGTTAAAATTATCTAACTTTTAACCAGAAAAATGTGTGAAAATTATTCAGCTTTTAACAACAAAAATCTCAAGGTGATGCTAAAAATGGCTGCAAAACACTGTGGATTTAAGATGGAATGATTTATTATGACATGTCTCTAATTTGCATTTAGACACATTGTATTTATTTTCAATTATTCTTGTTCACATATATTGCATATGATCCATTATTTTATATAATTAGGTTACAATGAAATATGTATTTGAGATGTCGTAGAGTGGGAGAACTCCGTATCACAGATCGGTGAGGCGTACCATAAATTGGGGGCGTATCATAGATTGGTGGGGCATGAGACTCTTGCCCCGGCCCTGATAAGGAATATAATAATAATAAACGATATTATTGCTATATTCCCGTGTCTTAAAGTTTTGTGTTGATGTTCTGTTTGTTAGTCAAATGTCTCACAAGCGTTATGTGGTTCCATAGTCGTGTGGGGATTTAACAATTGAAATCTCTTATGGGCTGATTGGTTTAACTTGTTGGAGTGAGGATCTTTCTTTTTGCCCCCAGTTAGGAGTTTTTGATTCTTTCTTTGAAATTCATATTCACTCTCAATATTAATATACAATATCTTTCTCTTTTTCCTTTTTATGTGTAATGTGTCTCTTCAGAGCAAGGGAATTCATGGCTCTCCACTACTTCCTGTCATGTGTGTCTTTAAGTAACTTTTGCCTTTTTAACATATTGTTTTAACCTTCTAAGGCTGAAAATGACTAAAATATACCCACAATCACATAGCACTTATTCAATACACGGCCACACCTGAGTGGTACCAGAACTTTGGGGAAATCTACAACTTTAACAAAATTGTAGATCTCCAAAACTCTATCTCATAACAAAGGAGGCTAAATTCGAAAGAGAAATCAATTTACATTCTTCTAAAATCAACTTATAATACTTGATTTTCATAGTTTTTTTTTTTTTTTGTTTTTGTTTTTTTAGATATATCAACTGAATTGTACTAATATCACATATTCAAATTTTCAATCATGACAATAGTTTGGTCTGTAGTCCAGGGATTTAACAATTGAAATCTCTTATGGGCTGATTGGTTTAACGTGTTGGAGTGAGGATATTTCTTTTTGTCCCCGGTTGGGACTGTTTGATTCTTTCTCTGAAATTTGTGAAAGGTACCAGCACAGCGAGAGCTTTTTTGCCAATACAGCATATATCTCCAACTGAGATTCCAGAAATGCTCCAGGTGGTCATCAGTAAACTCCATTTGAATGCCACGATTGTTTCTCAGATAGATGAGATCTTCCTTGATGTTGCTGTCATCATCAACATCTTCCAAATTCTGCCTAAAAGGGTGCTGAATCCAGTTGTCACAGGTTTGCAGCTCTCCACACGATGTAAACTTTTATGCTAGATTTCCAAACCCTACACTAGAGTTTCCTTAATAAACCGACCCTAATGATTCAATATCCTCACACATCCTCCGAACTGATATCGCAACCTAGTCGGGTGCCAGCACTCCTGGTTAAGAACTACTGGTCTAAACAGACAGATTTTTCGACCTCCTTCAGAGAAAGAGTTCTATTTTTTATTGACATAATTTCTATTAGTTTCTTATTTATTTCCTCAAATTATATTTCTTAGTGAATTAAAGCCTCTCTTGGGAAAAAAAGGAAGAATTTGCTCATAAAATTGATCTACGTTTAAACATATTCTTTGAAGAGAGAGAAATCTGTATCAATAACTGGTCACGTTTGTAAAGACATTTGAGAAGTGTTTCCCAAACTTTCCTCACGGACAGCACATTTTATATAAAAAAATGTTTCGGTGAACTTTTTACATAAACTTCGCACGTTTAACTACAAAACTGTTATACTGAAACACGTTTAGTCCAGACAGTCTTCATGTACTTCTTACCCACCTTCCAACCTTACAGCAGCGTTAGTGGAACCAAGCCTGTTCACTAGTTGAGGATGATATTAATATATAAATTGCATTACGATTCAGTGCAACAATTCGAGGCTCCCAACGAGAAATTGGGGAGATAAGATCCAATTCTAGTCGAGATTGTTGTAAGGAGTTAAAGACATATAGCGTTGAAACACTGTACGATCACGGACTGTGTAAAAAATACTGCGTAAAAAATTGTAAAAGATTACATAAAAGGCTACTGAATGATTGGTTTGGTTTATTTTGTTTTACGGCATATCAACCTCAATGGGTTATTTAATGCCAACAACATTTTAGGATAGATTTGTATGAACAGAATATGTATACTTTGGTTTAGATTGGTTTGGTTTATTTTGTTTTACGGCAGATCAACCTCAATGGGTTATTTAATGCCGACAGCATTTTTAGGATAGATTCGTATGAATAGAATATGTATTCTTTGGTTTAGATTGGTTTATTTTGTTTAACGGCATATCAACCTCAATGGCTTATCTAATGCCGACAACATTTTTAGGATAGATTCGTATGAATAGAATGTGTTTTCTTTGGTTTGGTTTATTTTGCTTTACGGCATATCAATCTCAATGGGTTATTTAATCCCGACAACATTTTTAGGATAGATTCGTATGAATAGAATATGTTTTCTTTGGTTTAGATTGGTTTGGTTTATTTTGTTTTACGGCATATCAACATGAACAGAATATGTATTCTTTGGTTTAGATTGATTTGGTTTATTTTGTCCCATGGCACACTAACCACAATAGGCTACTCAATACCGAAAAATTCTTTATTGCTGGTAATATTTTGTTTTGTCAAAAATCTGTTTCTGGTAATATTTTCCTTTCAAAACTGTATTGCTGGTAATAATTTTTTAAAAAAATTATTGCTGGTAATAGTTAACTATTTGCCCATAGCTGGGACCCTAACAGATGCTACCACCCCGGTTCAGGGTTGACCTGGGAACACCAGCAATTAAGAGGTGGTTCCACGCTCCTCAAAACCTCCTGATCAGAGGCCTTGTTGTTGGACGTAATTTATCGTCTTACCCAGGATGCGGATGTTGTTTAACACAATTTACGGAGAACTGAGACAACTCTCTCTTAAGCATAAGCAATAATGATTACAGTTTGCTGGCCATTGCCACCAAGTGGAGGAGGAAGACGTCTCATCCTTCTGGAGGTGTCTTCTCATGATTATTGAGACAGACACCATAGCTCATATGTTGGAAATTGGAGATTTGGGGACGGAAATACGCAGGGATAGAGTTCCGACCAACCAGAGGGTGTGTGTGTGGGGGGGTCGAAGGATGATGATGATGATGATGATTTCACTAATCACCGGAATTAAATTCCAACGCTATAATTTTGAACTTAAACTTAATCTTTAAAGTCAAACCCTCATAGAACGGTAATATTTTGGAAAAGAGTATTTTTGTCGTTATTTGTCATGTTGAATTGTGTGCAATACCACGCTTCCAGAATCGACCTGCCCGACTGATGGGTGGAAAATAATTCCTCCTCCAGAAGGCGACATTGACGCTTTTTTTTTTAATTATATAGTTGTTAGCCAGAGAAACAATCCAAGATGCCAGTTGCAGATTGGAGATTTAAATATATTGGAAGTGTGATAACAGGCAATGAAACATGTGGCACAAAAATCCGAAAGAATATAGGAATAACAAAAGATGCCTTTCGAAAGATAAACAAAGTATTAAGAAACAGGAAAATATCGGGAATAGAGAAACAAAGAAAAGACCGCTGAAACGCTATGCAACATCACTCTTCCTATAAAACAGTGAATGCTGGACAATTTCCTCACAGATGAAGAGGAAACCTAAGGCAACAGAAATATGGTCATACAGAAGGATGTTGAGAATATAATAGATCATGTGAGCAGCAAGGAAGTTTTAAGGAAAACTGAAACAAAAAGGAAAATTATACTTAGAATCAGACTTTTAATTCTTACGACACGTGGTGAAGAAAGAGGGTTCGGAGAATTTAACACACACAGGATATACTGAAGGCAAAAGTGGCAGATGGAAACGGCAAACAACCTACTCAACGAGCTTGCATAAAATGATGCCAGAATAGGGACCAGGAAGGATAGTAAAAAAACAGACAAGAGCTTCAAAGAATAAGAAGTTGTGGAGAGCCATGAACATCCCATGTTCTGAAAGGGCTAGGCGCATAAAGAAAAGAATAAAGGAATGAAATAAAACTTACTCTAAGAATTTGGTGACTGCCTTTTTGCTACATGCCGACCATATTTTGGGATGACTGCTGCCAAACATCTGTGGTGCCATGACATACGTTCTGTCTTCGGGAGTCATACATTCGGTGTTTGTATTGTCATGGTGCATTCCAAAACTGAAATAGATAAAGAAGAATTAAAAGTTAAATGGTTGGGGCAATATGGTATAAAATATTAACAAGAATAAATAAAGAATATATACAGACCTCTGACACAAATACATATCCACATATATTTGGATATTTACCATATTGGTGGCATAAAAGACTCACGGGCATATTAGATCCCCCACCCACCATTTCAGTAGGGTATATTCAGGAAAGAAAAGTTTTATTTTTCTATAATTAAGCACATAAATATTTAAACCAAGTTATCAGTGAATTTCAAAACATTATAAAGTACTTTAGCTGGAGCAGAAAATATTCTCTCAATCTCTCTCTGTCACGCATTCTCTTGCTCACTCTCTATCATTCTCTCTCACTTTCTCACTAACTGCCAATAGTTCTCTCTCTTTCTCTCTCTCTCTCTCGGTTTAAATCTCTCTCTCTCACTTTCTCACTCTCTATCACTCTCTCTCACTCCCTTGCTCTCTATCTCACTCCCTCTCTTACTCTCACTCTTTCTCTTGGTCGCTCGCTCTCTCTTTCACTATCAATCTCACTCACTCTGTTTCCCTCTTGTATCTCTATTTCACTCTCTCTCTCACACATTCTAATTTTCTCTCTTTCTCTCTGTTCTTTTCACTCCCTCTCTCACTTTCTCACTCTCACTCACTCTCTCTTTCTCTCATTTTCTTGATCTCTTGCCCTCTCTTTCACTATCACGCTCGCACTCATTCTTATCCACTTCTTCTCTCTCTTGATCTCTCACTCACTGTTTTGTTTCATTCTCTCTCGCTTTTCCTCACGCACTCTCGCTGTCTTTCGCTTTCATTCTCAAGTCCCCTCTCTCTTTCACGATCACTCTCACTCACGCTTTCACTCACTTGCTCTCTCTGTCCCTCTCTCACTCTTACTCTCTTTTAGCTCTCATTCTCTCGCATACTCTCTCACCCTCATTCTCTTGATCTCTCTGTCACTTTAAAATCTCTTTCATTATCTCTCTCTCTCTCTCTCTCTCTCTCTCTCTCTCTCTCTCTCTTTGTCTTTCATTCTCATTCTATCTCACTTTTGGTTTTACCCTCTTATTGTCACGCTCTCACACTCTCTCTTTCACTATCATTGTTGCTCTTGCTCTCACTCACTCTTTCACTCACTTGCTCTCTCTTTCACTCTCTTACTGTCTCTGACACACACTCTCATTCTTGCTCTTTCTTTCACTTTGAACTCTCTCGTTCTCTCTCTCATTCTCGCTTTCACTCTCTCTCTCACATCAACACTCTCTATTGCTCTCTCTCTCCCTCTCTCTCTCTCTCTCTCTAGTCCCATACACTCCAACTCTAGACTATGCTAGGTGTTGCTGCTGTGATCCTTATCGCAAATAGGTTTTTCACCCGGCTGAAGCTGCCAGCCCATCTCTTTTGAATCCAGAGTTATCCTTCTCCTAGATTGGTTGCAGTAGCGGAAAATGAGAGTTTAAAGCTTCAATTAAAGCATGAAGGGCGGATACCGTTACTGTTAAGTATGAATAAAAAAAAAACACTACTGAATCATTGATATATAGGGGACGTAACTGTAGTTAAGAGAGAAAAATAAAAAGAGGGAAAGTTAGCATGGGATTGCGAGCTTGTAGAATGCTTGCTTCCTGTTTTTGTGGATGCACTTGAAACATTAAGAGAAAAAATTCAAACATGGACGTGGGAATTTGTTATAGTGACTTGACCTGAGATACGTCAGAAAACAACACTGCTTAGGAAAGCCAGAATCATGAGACAGGTGTAAAAAAATTGTAATGACCTTTGCTCTTGAGTGTTACATCACGGCATAAGTTCTGCTTGAGATAAACATGGGAATAATAATAATAATAATAATAATAATGGCATACAACACCCCCAAATGAAGGAAAAAATAAGAAAAGAATACTACAGGCGTGTACATCTGGTACTAAATACTGAGCTAAACTCAAAAAACAGGATATCAGCCATAAACACATTGGCTGTCCCTGTGGTGCAATACAGCTTTAATGTCCTTAACTGGACCATAGCTGAAATTAAGCGAATGGATGCCAAAACGAGAAAGCTACTCACTTGCTATCGCATGCATCATCCCAATGCTGATGTCGACCGTCTGTATGTGCCCAGATCCGAAGTAGGCAGAGTATTAGTTCAACTAGAACTGCCATACAAAACTACAACAATTGGCCTCCAAAGATATTTGGAAACTACAGAAGACTGGATGATGGTATGCGTCAAGGAACATGAAAGTAGTAAGCGTCTCTACTCCGTAA